TGTTGACATGTTAATTTGAAAACAACTCTGACCTTATTTTTTCATTTTCTCCTTTCTTTTTGTGTGTGTAGGTTTTTGCAGAATTTGATCCTGTTCCACTTGCAAGTGCTTCCCTTGCACAAGTCCATGCTGCCCGAACGCACACTGGGCAAAAAGTTGCTGTTAAGGTTCTGTTTTAAGAAACATTGCGGTCTGCCCTGAATAAATTATAGCAGTTAACCTTGTTTTCTTCCTCACACTGTATCCTCCTATCTTGATATCCAGGTTCAGCATGACCACCTCACGGATACTGGTGTTGTAGATATAGCCACTGTGGATTTGTTAGTGAATGCTCTGCATTATGTTTTCCCTACATTTGACTACAGGTAGCATCTTTCTCTTGTTATCTCGTTTGCTTTCTAGTGTTTGATTTTTTAATTTTTAGTAATGTGCACAAACCAGTAGCAAGATAAAGCATACTCTAGAGGATTGTCACCATTGTTAGTCAAGCAAGGTGGTAAATATCCAGGATGTACTTAGCTTTACAGCTTTAATTATCAATTTGAAATTGAAATTTTGGTCTCCAAGCCCCCAGGTTATCCAGTCAGCACACAATTGAGGACATGTTTGGTGTTGTCCATAAAGGATATTTTGTAATTTTTAAATTTAAATTAGAGTAAATATTCCAGATTGGATAATGATATGTTTTACTATTTATGTAGTTCCTAATAGATACACGTATTCATCTTATTTTTGAGGCAGCCAGTTATATTTCGTGATCTTACATCAAGCTTGATATCTATTTGTATGTTGGAATAGTTGGCCCTAGCTCTTCGTTGCATTGCCGGATTCGCATGCATAACTCATAACCTAATGTTATGTCCATGTGACTGTAAATCCTTGATTGCAATGCTACTTGTTTAGTTTTCACGCAGAGTTCATTTTACATTGTTGCCAAATAACTGCTTCCATGCAGGTGGTTAGTTGATGAAGTTCGAGAAAGTGCCCCTAAGGTACCTTCCTAGTCTTGCCTGGAAATAAGTTCTTTGTGATTGACTCATGGATTTTATTCTTTCTTTTTGTTTGTTACAAAATGAGTTAACCTTTTGTTCTCATCTGTCATAATTTTTGTCTATTAATGGCTATGATTGTGCCCTGTTAAAATTAAGTTTTGTGCTAATCAATATTCTTTCCAATAGTATCTGCACTTCAAACTTGAATTTTTATGCAATTTAGGGGGAACAAAAATAATAATAGAAAGATTGGAGCTGGTGCTAACTTGCTGTTATGATTCTCAGGAACTGGATTTCTTGAATGAGGCCAAAAACAGCGAAAAATGTTTGGATAACTTTAGAAGGTTGTCTCCTCAGATTGCTGGTAGCATATATGCCCCCAAGGTTTATTGGAATCTCAGCACATCTAGAATTCTCACCATGGAGTTTATGGATGCCAAGGAGGTAACTGATGTTAATGGCATTAAATCAATTGGAGTTCACCCTGTTGATGTTTCAAACCTAGTAAGTTGCCACAGTACACCCATTTGATTAATCGTGCCTGTGATAAAATACTCACCTCTTTTAGATGTCTAGGTCAGTAAAGCATTTGCTGAGATGATTTTCAAGCATGGTTTTGTTCATTGTGATCCCCATGCTGCTAATGTGATGGTCCGACCAATGCCACAAGACAGCAGAAAACTTTTTGGTGAGAACCTTTATATCTAGCATCTCAAACTAAACCAAAGATGCGTGTAGAATGCCTTTTACTTACTGAAACACATCGAATGTCATTTGTCTGAAACATAACAATTTGACAATTAACTGAATGATTCTTCCATAGTTTGGGTTTTAAAGTAGTGCATGGTATTGATGTCTAGTTATTACGTAGATAACTAGCAGAGCTTGTCTATAAATAATGGCAGGTTGCCTCATGCCACAATAAAATATGCTCTATTGAGTGAGATGGAGGTGTGTGAGATGTGCAAAGTGGTTCTTTATTGCATAAGTCGTTCTTTCTATGTGGCAACACCACCTTTCTCTGTCCAACATTTTATGTGTCGGATAGGTCATCCAAAGCATTATGATGGCTAGTTTTTTTTTTTTTGGAACTTAATGGCTAAGTTCCTAACAAATATGACTTCAATGTAGGTTGGAAGAGGCCACAACTGGTTCTTCTTGATCATGGACTTTACAAAGAGCTTGATTATAATACTAGGATAAGCTACGCTTCTCTTTGGAAGGTAACAATGCTATTACAGTTTCTGGAGTATTTCTTTGATTACAAGTAGCTGGTACTAAATATTTTCTGTGACATTTGGTCAACTCAGGCGCTTGTTTTTGCTGATGCAAAAGCAATTAAGGAGAACAGTGTCAAACTGGGTGCTGGGGAGGATCTTCATGCACTCTTTGCTGGTGTTCTCACTATGAGGCCATGGAAAAGGGTGATTGACCCATCTCCTGATCATCTTGTCCTAGACGGAAAAAATACTGATTATTCTGAACTACAGGTATAGATGTACTACAATTTTGTGTTCCCAATGGTCATCCATGGTACCACCGCAAATGCAATGATACAAATGGACTATGTTGTTAAACAGTATAACAGTATCTGTAGGGCCATGAGCTCATGAAGCTAGCATGAAGTTCTAGAAAGACTCTGATATTGCTGATTGTGGTTTGATTGTTGTTCATCAAATTAACAGGTCTTCGAATCTTGACATGATCAACAGATAGAAAACAGACTACAAACTTTACTTGAAATACATATAGCAGCCCACACTCTAAAATGGGATGAAAGGAATACATATTCCTTAGATAATGTTTTACTTGAAATCTAAACCTACTTCCCACGTCAATTATTAGGGTTTAAAGCCTTTGATGTTCCCAATATAGAGTATATAGGTGGATATTCGCCTTGTTCATTGGTTATATTATTTTGTATTTTTATATTATTTTCTTGCTTTTATAGCATGTATCCTATTGTTAGATAATTGGACTGATCCGTCTGTCAAGTTTTTGGTTATATAAACCTGTCAGTAGAGTCTTGTAGACATTGAGGTCCTTGGTATCTGTCCTTACTCGATTACTTATTCTTGAGCCCAGAATTACGCCTCCTTATATTTTACTGAGATCTCGGAGCTGCTGAGAAGATTACCGAGGGTTATATTGTTGATGCTTAAAACAAATGACTGTTTACGTGCAGTCAATCATGCCCTGGTAAGCATTTAGAAGTGCTAGCAATCTAGTTAAATATATTTCTTCTCGTTTTTCCAGAATATAAATGTTTGGGTCTGCTACTTTTATTACCAAATTGCTTTTCCTTTCACTTTTTTATAGCCACTGCTTTTAGAAAGGGAAGCATGGGATTGAGCTTGAGGGTTTGTTCATTATAGATGCTACATGGGCTTGGAATTTCTGTAGCGTGGGCAGTAATCAGCAATCGATTACAGAGGATAAATATGCATTTTTTAAACAATTCTAATGGCCTATCACTATGCAAGCTTTTCCCTTTATATGCCAAGTGTAAATTCAATCTTTACTCTTGTTTAAGTTTTATATTTGGAACTGGGATGTGAAAAACTAACGCAAATTGAAATTGTTAATTTGACCTCCTTTGACAGGTTGCACTTTAGTCGTTTATGATCATTGACGGGTATCTTTGACAGGATTAAAAGGATGAACAGGAGGTCCTTTCTAGATGGAGATGATATTGGATGATCATTGGACGGCTCGATTCTTTTGAAGCTGATGCTATGTGTGATGCAACTAGGAAGTTGATGAACAGGAGGTCCTTTCTAGATGGATTGATGATATGGCTGGAGGAAGAATTCATTCCTGCTGTTGAAGCTCGATTCTTTAGTTTGAATTGCTGATGCTCTTATGTTGTTTCAAGATGCAAAAGGAAGTTGTTGTTTAACCAAAAAATTTTTAGCTTTTCTACAACTCGTATCAGCATTTCATATACACGTGCTTTTTTTGACTGGTAGAAGGGGCCTAAAAGCAGTGAGGCGTATCAGCAGCTTTTTTGACCGGTAGAACTGCGAAGTTGACATGTAGTTCCATATTTTTTTTGAGAGCGAAACTTGGCATTTTGCTTAGAAGATCGCCATTCTTTTCGTATACATGATTCTTTTGTTGACCATTGGCTGACCATGATCGGTCATTTTGCATGATCAATACTTGATACCTTCGTTCTGATGGGTGAATACAAGTATACATACTGCTGCCGTGGACAAATGTAAAAGCAAAACTGTTATTTTGGAAGGGAATCAACATTGTTATGGAGCAAATTTGATTCGATAAGAAAATTAACTGCAGATTATTAATTTTTCCTTTTTACTCTGTGCAATCTCTGTACTTATACAATGAAGCACCAATTCAAGGGGCAACTGCGGCTGCCTAACTTTATATGATGAAGCAAGAACAATTCAAGAAGGCAACTGCAAAGCGAGGTTGGTTATCTTCGCCGTGCATCCGTGGTCGAGGGAAATGGTCTGGGATGGCTTAGCAACAGACGAAAAAGTCGTTTTTTTAAGGGAAAACGGGTTTTTTCCTTTGTCCAGAAATTTAATTGTGATTTACTCTTATTTTTTAATTTTGTGATTTTACCCTGTTATTTTGAAACGAAGGAGCAGTTTGTCCCTGGTTTGGATGTCCGTTATTCAGAGTCTAATTAAACGATTTAAAAAAATAATACACATAAAATCAGATGCGAAATGACTGAAATATCCTTATTACAGTTATCTCATCCGCGGGGGCGAAAACACCGTTTTCCCTACTTTTTTTTTCTCCCTGCAGTCCGCAGGCAGCATGCGCATGGCTTCCTTCCTCTGCGTTCTTATCCGCTCGTTCTCTTCGTTGGTATCTGCTCGCGACTGACGCGAAAGCTCCGTGCTGACAGAAGACCGGCGACCGCGCCCCGATGGCGAGCATCGTCGCGGCCGCGCGCCCCTGCGCCCGCCGGCCATGGCGCTCCGGCAACCCCGCGCCCGCGCGACGGCGGCCCTCGGCGACCTCGCCCGCCGGTCATGGCGCTTCAGCAACCCCGCATCGGCGCGACGGTGGCCCTCGCGACCCCGCGCTCGCAAATACCGATGGGGGCAAATCCGCCCTATTGGGCAGGGCGCGCGACATGGACGGGGGAGGCACGGCAATGGCGATCTTGGTCCTCTTCCTGTGTCCGAGGACGTGTCCCCCGAGCGCCTGGTGGCTATCGAAGCACCTGTCGCATAGGCTGCAGGGAAAGCACCCCGAGGTTGCGGTTGCGCCGGACGACGCGCCTGCAGTCTTTGCCGCCGCCGCCGCCGCCACCACCACATCGTCCCGATCGCTATCCACCTCGCCGCACGGACTCCTGCTTCGCTTGCCGCACGCGCCCCGCTTCTTCTTTGTCGCGTTCTTGGCTTCTCCTTGCTCTCTCGGAGTCGGAGCGCGATGCTGGTGGTGCGCCTTCTCGTGGCTCCCCTCGCTCCCGGACTCCCCGGCCCGCGGCGACGACGCTAAGTTCGACTCCGAACCGCTCGGTGCCGTCTGCGCCGTCATCGGCAACGCGATGATCAGGTCGAGCCGGGCCTTCTTGGTCTGCGGCGGGGCATCGTCGTCGTCCAAGATCTCCCGGAGAGGCCTCTTCTTCGTCTTCCTGACGCCTCCTTCCGATTCTTCTTCCCCCGCCTTTCCATCGCCATCGTCACCGGCATCGTCGTCATTCGCAGAACTCGCGTCGCGATCGTCGTCCTCCGCGTGGCGTCCTGGGGGCGCGGGCTGGCGCGCGAGGAACACGTAGCGGTCGACGTCCTCGTCGTCGGAGTCGGAATCAGAGTAGTAGTTGTCCTGCTCCTCGACCACCACCATCTCCTCAGCCTCCTTGCTGCGGAGTCTAGCGGCAGAACGATCTGGTGGCGCGCAGATCCGTGGAGGAAGACGGAAACCGAGCACTAGTACTAGCCGCCTGCTGTGGCGCGCGCGTGTGGAAGCTGCTTAGGCAGGCGGCCTAGGGATTGTTGCTGTGTGGAGCGATGAGCCGTGCGGCCGCACACAGCGCAGGCCGCAGGGGCATGCTATTATATGCTGCGGCCGTGGGCTGGAAGTGGGGCGAGAAAAGTTGGCATGGGCCTGCCGCTCGACCTCAACTCGGATTCGACCTGGGCGTTGCTCCCTCGGCGGGTCGACGGCCAGTTGGATGGAGCCGAGTAATTTGGCCCAAGTACAAATCTCCTCGTGGTTCTCATTTCTCAAGGCACTCAAGGCTATTCGAGACGAGTCCAACTGTCAAGTCAAATGCTTTTGGTGTATGCATTTCAGGGCGCAGTGGTGGCTTTGGCATTTTTTGGAACAATAATACTAGAGTTGAGATTTTACCGTACTCTCAGCACCATATAGATACCATTGTAACGAAGAGCGGGGGTGAGCCTTGGCGCTTGACATGTATCTATGGTGAAGGGCAGGTGTCGGAATACCACAAGATGTGGGATATGCTCAAGTTTATCAGGGCGACTTCACCGCTGCCTTGGATGTGCATTAGGAATTTTAATGAAGTTCTTCTCCGCTCCGAGCATGAGGGTGTGCAGGAAGAGCTGGAGCCCGATAGTAGGCTTTCGGGAGGCGTTAGACGTCTGTGGGCTCGTTGATCTTGGTTTTGAAGGACGCTGATGGACTTTTGAGAAGCAGGTAGCTGGGGCTCCTATTGCCGGGTGAGACTGGGCCAAGCTCTGGCTTGTGCTGAGTGCGCTAGATTCCCGATGGCATCGGTCCGCCACCTCACTTCAGCGGCATCAGACCATGGTCCTATCGAACTTTGGTGGGAAGACAGGACGAACTCTTGCGGAAGGCGATAGAAAAAACATTTCAGGTATGAACTAATGTGGGAGTCGCATGTAGGTTTTCGGGATACCCTCTCCCAGGCATGGGAGAGCCCACCGCGAGGCTCTGGATTTGGAGGGGCTTCAGAGAAGATGGTTGTTGTGTCTAAACATATCAGTGGTTGGGAGAATACAGACCTTTGGCAATGTGAAAAGAGAGTTAGAGGGGTTGAAAGAGGAATTGGAGCGGCTCCGATTAGGTCCCCTAAGAACGGGGCCATCCCACGAGGAAATAAAAACCACAGATAAAATAGTGGAGTTAAATCACCGTGAGGAGGTTATGTGGAAGCAGCGTTCTCGTGTTTACTTGGCTTGCCGAGGGAGACAGGAACACTCGATTCTTCCACTTACGTACGACTCAACAGAGGAGGAGAAACAGGATCTCCAAATTAAAGATGGCGGATGGAAGCTTTACTGAAGATGAGGCGGTGATGGCTTCCATGACGACAGACTTCTTCCGGTCCATAAAAACGGCGGAGGGAACAGAGGATATTGACCAGCTGCTGGATACGGTGTCGACCAAGGTGACTGGGGAGATGAACGACATGCTGCTAAAGCTGATCGACCTAGAGGAGGTGAAGAACGCCTTGTTCGGAATGTTCCCGACCAAAGCTCCCGGCCCGGACGGTTTCCGAGCACATTTCTTTCAGAGACACTGGGATTTCTATGGCGAGGAGGTCATAGCGGTGGTGCTGCGTGTATTGCATGGAGAAGATGATCCAGCAAAGCTCAACAATACAAATATTGTCCGAATACCTAAAGTGAGAAACCTGGAGAGTTGGGACAATTTTTGGCCAATTAGTTTGTGCAATGTGATATACAAGATAGCTTCTAAAACGATGGCCAATAGACTTCGGAATATCCTTCCTGAAGTTATCTCTGAAGAGTTCAGCGTTCGTGCCAGGCCGACTGATAACTGACAACATAATTACAGCCTATGAGTGTATGCATTTTATGAAGAAGAAGAGGGCAAGGGACAGTCGTTTCTATGCTCTGAAACTAGACATACGAAAGGCATCCGACAGGCTGGAGTGGGACTACCTACAGAAGATTACGATCAAGTTGGGATTTCACCGACTGTGGGTAGATATGGTCATGAGACTAGTTAGTCAGGTCTTTTTCTCGGTGATTCTGAATGGCAACAAACTGGAGGGCTTTAAACCATCCCGAGGCATTCGTCGAGGGAATCCAATTTCCCCCTATCTCTTCTTGTTAGCAGTAGAGGGCCTTTCACGCCTCTTAAAATATTGTTCTCGGTCATCAAATCTCATGGGTGTTCCCATGGGCTCTACAGTAGTTTGTTTTATTTACCCGTTGATTTATGCTTTCAAAGCTAGGTTCTTCTCAAATTTTAGTTTATTTACTTAAGATTACTTTTTAAAATTTTTAATAGCTCTGTTAATCACTTTAGATGGAGTGATGCATCATATTATACTGTTGTTTGTCGTGTATGTTTAGGAACCATCATGCATTTGTGCGGCTTCCCTTTTGCATTTTGTGCACCTATCTAGTGAATACCTGAGCAACGTGCTTTATTAGTTACTAGCAAACGTGCCCTTACGTTGTGTCAGGAGAAAAAACTAACATGTTCATAGGGAACAACAATAGGGACGATATACATGTTATTTATGTTTCACTCTATAAAACTTGAAGGCTATAATTTATTTTGTTATGACCATGACATCCATACTATAAGTAAACGCCGACGATAATATGACAATACTAAGCCTCTATCAAATTAAAATATAATTTTGATAGACTTTCTTCTCCTATTGCATGCAAAGCACATAAATATTTAGATGTAAATAAACAATAACTTTAATTTTTATATTATTCATGTGTTGCTTTAGTTAAATATTGAGTTTTGTGATCTTTCACGACCCACAAAAATATGTAATTTTCATTTATGATTAAAGTCGACAAGGAGTTATTGCCAACATGTCAAGGATTGATCTGTCCTCTGATGATTATGACGGAAGACCTCTCTAGATTTTTCACATGCTAGTCCTTATCGGGAGATTGTAGATATACATTTATTTAAAATGGATTAGACAAAAACCTACTTAAGATTTCAATTCACATTTTTTATTAGTTGAACCGTCAACTAATCCAGATTTTAATAAAATTTCTAATCAAAATTACATCCACAATTTAGTGGTAGAAATCTTTATTTCTTATGGGTGGATCAATGGTTCAAATGTGAGTATGTGACATATAGCTATATGGCAGATGAGGCATCAAAGAACCTGACCGACCTCTCTAAAGGGCAAAATCAAATAGAGATTCATATAGCCGGGCTGGTTTACATTTGCTTTATTCCTTGTAGTGTTTTATTAGTCTGCGATGAGTTTGTAGGCCACTGTCATGACATTTGTTATCATGCATGTATATGCGTACCTGTGGAATTTCAAGACGATCAACAAGGCACTTCGGGTGAACCTGCAACGCTGAATGAGGTAAAAAGCTTAGTGTTCATGTCATTGTAATCGGAGTAGACATGTGACCACGGGCCAATCTTGAGGTTCGCCACACACGGCAGGTCTCCACCAGAATAAACCTTCAAATATGGCTGATTCGAGACCGTAAATTCCTCCAGCCCTGGGGCCAGCAACGTGAACGCCTTAAGATTGTAGCAGTAGGTGTCGTCCATTCATCAATTTGTTATAGATAGTGTACAATTCAGGTGAAGCATAACAGTTGATAATCATCTCAATTTGGTGACCACAATATAGGTGAACACCACTTTCTCAAGGTTCAGTGGTTTACATCCAGTTCAGCATATGAACACCACATGAAACACTTCATGGCCACATAATCTTTATCCCTGCAAAAAATAGTTCACACAGCCATTAAGTTTCAAAATGGTGCGCATAAGTTACATACTGCTAATTCAGTTGCCTAGTTATATGAAACTGAACACTACCAAGCAACATCAAAGTCATAGTGCTTTTCAGTAGGAACAATTCAAGACTGCTCTACTTCTCTGAAACACTTTAGCAGTTTGTCCAGTTATCGTGCCTAACAGAAACCTATCAGATTCTTGAATGCCTATCATGCCTAATAGAAACCACATAGTGGATACATAATTCAAAGTAAGTTCACACAATCATTACAGATGCATGCTCTCTATTTTCAGAATCTGAAAAACAAGGTAGTACCTGGTTTGGTAAACTGAAAATTATCAAATGACAGCAGTGGTTCATGATTTCTGCTATCAGGATCATAACAGAGAGCACTTATTGATAACAGAATGCAGGTACTATATTTTTTCTTGTAGCAAGGTTTGAGCAAACAGACACGCACTTAGTTACAGGGAAATTAGCAAGGAACTTATTCAGCAGGTGATTGCAATTCATATTCTGGCTACTTTATCTATCTACTAATCCAGGAGTCAAAAGCTTGCATATTCTGGCCACACACTACGAAATTATATAGCAGGTGATTCGGGAAGAAACGGACACATCTGCTAACGATTGGGAAGAACTATATAGCAGGAGACTGGTGAACAAACTAAGTGCAGGTGATTGGGGAAGAAACAAACCCGTTGCTGCGACCAAGGGGATTGGGCTGCCGTCTTGCTGTTGCTGCCGCGACCAACTAAGATGTAGGTCGTCGCTGCTGCAGAGCCTTGATCTGCCTTGCTGCCGCCGCCGCCGCGCCCTTAGGCTCCGACGCCGCCGCGGCGCCATGGGGCTCCGACGCCGCCGCCGAGATCGACACCGCGCACTACAACGCTGTCCTCGAGGGTCTGCTCGTCACCGCGCGCCTCCGTGTCGCCGACAGCCGACAGCGTCCTCCTTAAGATGCACCGCCTGGGCCTCCTCGAGCGCCGCTGGCCCGGCCGCCTGGGCGAGCGCCTCTCTTCGCTACTGTTACCATCGTCGCCTGGGCTGCGCCGGCTGAGCCGTGAGCCAGGGACGGGAGCGGGCGTGAGGAAACAAGTGGGCTGTCAGCGACGGAACGAGAGCGCACATGAGCGAGTGGGCCGACGGTTGGGCCTAGATTGAATGGGCTGGACGAAAAACAAATAGCTTGAAATTTTGCCTTTTTATTATTAGGTATAGATATTTATCAAAATAGTCTAATTTTGACTCCTCAGCTATGCCCATGGTTTAATTTTGGTCCCTCAACTGCAAAATCAGAAATATTTAGTCCTCGAACTACCAATCCCGTTCAAAAATAGTCCCCGATTGTTTTCGGTAATAGTCTAATTTTGGCCCCTCAACTATGACCATGGTTTAATTTTCGTCCCTCAACTGCAAAACTAGAAATATTTAGTCCTCGAACCACCAAACCCATTCAAAAATGGTCTCTGTGTTGTTTTTTGTGGTGGTTTTGCTCACGCCGCAGTGCTACATCATGTCTTGCATGGCCGTGGTGGTTTTGCTCACGTCGCATTGCCACATCATGTCCTGCATGCCTGGGTGCCTCGGTGGCTGGCTGAGTCAGCTCCTGATGCCGATGCCAACAAGAATGGACTACATTTTGACACTTGTCTGATTGCTGACCTTGTTAAGAAGTTAAAGCTTGTCACTGAGTAAGTAAAAACAGATTTCTCTATTATAAGGTTCGTGGCATTTGCTTGTGAGTTGTGACTAATAACTCTTTTGTAGAGCAAACTTGGGCCAAATCTATTGAAAGATAAAGGGTCATGTGTTCTTTTGGGAGTGATTGATAGGAAAAAAATTCGTTTATTGGGTTGTTGTGGCATTGGAGACCAAAGTATTTGAATCAAGAGTTGATAGATGTGAAGATCTCTACATCCTAACATGGAATTTGGATGATTATGATGGCTATCTTCAGAAGACAGACAAGTACTGTGTGGATAACGAGAAAAGGCCATTCGAGGGCTCAAGTAGGTCTTCTTTTGTTAAGTTCATCAGTGGACTTTACACTCATGAGCCTAAACTTAAGGAAGTTGACCTAGTCGTAATGAAGAGGCATCCTCACTTATGTGTACTTCGAGAAACATGTTAGGAGCTGATGACATTAAGTGGCTCTGAAGATACTCTAAGGTTGGGTGTATGTATTCTTGTGAATCTGTGAATGCTTGTGAGTGTTGGTTTAGCCAACAAAAAAGAGAGAGTGAAGGAGAGAAGAAGGAAGAGAGCCAAACAAGTGATTGGCCAAAGGTCCCTCTACACCTCCACTTTTATAGGGAATGTGGGAGGGGAGGTGTTCAATATCCCTTGGTGGGGCTTGCATTTTTTTTAAAAACACTAGGGGCTACAAATGGGTCCCAAATCTTATCTTACAAGCCCCCTAACTATGTAATTGGGCCCTAAAAATATTGATGGGTCCTTAACATGTATTACACCCTAACACAGGGTATGTCCAGCAAAAATATCTGACATTCAATATGGTATGTTATAGTCTAAGATATAATCTAGACCTATCGAATAAAAAGCGCACACGAGCACCATTCGAGTTGAGGAATGATATGGAGAGTGAAGTATTTAAGACTATTGGACTTTTTTAGTTTGAACTTTCTAAATCATACTAGTACTAATAATCTTGGCTAAAATTTAGGGTAGTCCTAGACCTACCAGGACTAAGGCTGGGTCCGCCCATGCATATATATTGACATTCCGCCTCTTTACAACGATTTTTTGAACTAGTTTTGTATAGGGGGAGACCAACAAAACAAATTTCTCATTCTGCTTTTGAATGTATGTTAGAATCTTTGGCCAACCTATAACTATCTTTTCACGTGGCTTCAGCTTCTAGACCAAAGCGGCTTCATCATCATCATTTTTTTTTGTTTAGTTCTGGCTTCATGAGCCGCTTTCGTGTGTGCACGTTTGTCGATGAAATATGGTCGGTAGTCTACCGATGGGTATGCCCACTATAGTAGATGAATCGGTGGAGGTGCGCGAGATACGAACTAGATGGTGACACAGGCGCAGAGACAACGATTTAGGCAAGTTCAGGCCATCAAGTCGACGTAATACCCTACGTCCTGTGTCTTTGGTGGATTGTATATTATGATGGGATATCTAGGGATCTGCCGACCAGGGGACCCCTACCCCTCCTTATATACTCTGGAGGGGTAGGGTTATAAGAAAAGTATCCTATTCGGTTATATGGCAAGTATTCTATTTAGATTATAATATCTATAGTATCCGATCAGATCTTTTAGGTGCCTTGCGGTGTATGCCGAGAAGTGCCGTGCGCCGCAAGTCTTGATGACCATCCCTGATGGTGCGGCCCATGTCCCTTGCCATGGGTACCTAGGGTTATATCCCCCACAGCTAGTTCCCGAATGCCTTGTATCCGCTGAACAATGCTGTCTTGATCATGTCTGATCAGTTTAACTTGAAGCCGACCAGTTTAACTGGTAATCCGACCAGAGCCGACCAGTTTAACTGGTAATCCGACCAGTTTAACTAGTAATCTAAGCGGTGAAAATGGATGCCGGCCAGTTTAACTAGTTAGCAGATCTCGAACTTAGCCAAGTAAGGCTTGCCAGAAGAGGCTCAAGATAAAATTTGAAAATTCTCCCCCTTAGGAGAAGTGTAGCCACTTAGACTTCGTTTGCGAGGTCGGATGACTATCATCCATTACTTAGTCAATAAGGAAGATAAATCAGGAAAAAGTACTACATTCACCACCAGATGAAGTGTAGCCACTTAGTCCCCGAGCCTAGTGGTAGGTGAATAATTCACGTAGTGCTAGGGTAAAAAAAAAGAGAAGACTCCAGTTGCTAACAGTTCCTAGCTTAGCTGAAAACCATTAACAAGAGAAATTAGTACATGCACCGCAAGGTGCAGTGTACACACTGTAGTCCCCGAGCCTGCTAGAAGATGAAAAAATAAATCTTATAGCAGGGTTAAGGAATTCTAACAAAAACTTGCCAACATTATCTGCCATGTGCTTATCAAGACCCGGACGTGTTGCCCAAGATCAGCACTCTAATCCGAACAACATGCAACAACTTGATAGCACACCGATGAGACGTAGTAAAATCTGACCACCAAGGAAGTTCCTAGCTTAGTTGGCAACTCTTGCACGAAGAATCCGAACGCCGAGGAGTCCCCAGCTTACCTGGCAACTCTTGCACGAAGAATCCAAATATCGATGAGTCCCCAGCTTAGCTGGCAACCCTTACACGAAGAATCCAAATACCGAGAAGTCCCCAGCTTACCTAGTGTAACAGAACCGACCAATTATACGAAATTAAGTGAGAAAATCATCCACCAGGGCAGACGATTTAGCAAACTTAAGCCCGTATAACCCGGTAGTCCGTGAAATCACGAAGGATTTCAAACCAACTTCCATTCCAGCCAAGATCGTAATAAGTTTAGCGGTCACCATCACATATTACATAAAAGTTCGCAATCTCAGATACATCAGAGTTTAAACATAGTTATTACAAAACCAGTTTGAATAAAAGTAGCGGAAGCCATTTGTTCAAACCACACACACTCACGCGGAGTTCAAATATAGTGCCAGCGAATGATCATCTCCAACAAAAGCATTAGACGAGACGTAAGGAATGACCATGCCCATGGTCCTAAGCATCACCCATCGCAGGATAAAGGCAGTTGATACAATAGCCGTAATACATCTGCCCATCTGCAACAAGTGGGAATAAAACCCTGAGTACGAGAAGGTACTCAGCTAGACTTACCCGACATAACCGAAAACAAATGACACCAAGGATCATGAAGGCTTTATAGTAGGGTAGCTGACTCATTTGCAAAAGAAGCATTTTTAGCATTTCAAGAACCCTTCTAAAAGCATTATTGTCAAGTTAATTATTATTAACCTGTCGACTAGATTTGCACCTATACTAGAGCACGCATATGATTAAGCAGATAATGATAACCACTGATCATTAAACAACTTCCATACTGTCATATTCACTATAATCGCCCAAGTATTCCATAAACATTTACTACGATGAAGTCACTCAAGTCAAGTGCTCACTATCCAGAGCGATGGCGATTCGAATCGATTCCTAACCGGTGGTGATTTATTCCTTACACAAACCTCACTCACCCGCTAAAGTGAGATATTGATCACCGAGTCAACTTTTCCGGTATCTCGAGTTTGCCAGAACCACATGTACCGGGGCCGACCGATTGCACTTTGGTCTTATCATCCCGCCCGTGTCCTACCACACACCGCTTTCCAACACAAGGCGCATGGCAATCTACTCGGTCCGAAAAATCTCCCAACAGCGGTCGGAAGGTACTTTATCCGGCCAACTAAATGTAAGGCATGCGTTCAACATGACTCGAGGCCCAACAACGGTCGGTTCTTAATCGATACAGACGGAAACACTACGGTCCAAAACTCTGCAAGTCTCCGTCCGGTCTCAACTTTATTTAACACTTAGTTATATCATGACTTCATAGTCATCAAAGCAGATCCGTGTAACCACCTATAGCTCGCAGTGACAGAAATCACCCGACTTCTACCGGTCTAAGCCGGCTAAGCATTGACTCGACTACTCACGGATACCGTGGTAACAAGGATATAGTATAACAAAGGTAAACAAGGTATAATGCAAAGAACGGTTGCAAACAACTCCTGAACGTAATGCATCAATTTAAAGTAAAGCATTTAATGAAATCATTGCAAACCGGAGAAAGATGCTTCGGGCTTGCCTCTCTCGAAGGAGCTCGGACGGTGATCGGGGCACTCGGAAGTTCCTCAACGTCCTCCTCGCTAAACCTCGGCACTT